GCATTTGGAATTTTTTAGATAGCTTCGTGTTTTGACGTAGCATTTTTGATGAAAAAAATAGCTTTTATGGAAATGTGGGATAAATCTGTCATACTATTCGATTATATTTTTTTTTTTGTTAACAAAACCAGTCTGTTTTAAGCTGTTCCATCAATAAAGTTGAAAAATTAATGGAAGCCCCTTGACTTATAGGCGCTTTCTTAAAATGATTAAATCTTCCTTGAAAAACAATGAGTTTGACGGAACTTTTGAAAAATACAAAATCTATTTAGATCTGCAAAAAATAGGATTAAGGAGATTTAATATTGAATTGGGAAAAGGTTCCAGAAATTTGAAGGAATTGAATTAGGGATGTCTACCTCCTATGCTGATATATTAACAGCCGAATTTCAATTAATTGAATTTTTGCGAGCAAGCAAAAATGAATCTTGTGTCTCGGAGCGATTAAAATAACCTGATACGTAATTCCGTAAATTACTTACTGGAATACCCGCGTGAAATATTTTCAGATAGTCGGTGGTCCCTTCTGTCACGACGTTAGAATCGATAACCGTAAGCGAAAATCCTGTATATTTATAGATTTCTATTAAAAATCTTCATGTATCATCGGCATGTATCGTAACGCAAAGCCTACGAAATCGCGGAAAAACTTTGGCGACAAGCTTCAAGTATGGAAATCCACGGCACTCTTATTAAGTTTTAATAAAAGATTATCATTTATAGTAGAAAAAAAAAAAAAAAAAATCGGATGATTACTAATGTGTAAAATTACACTCGACGTATCGTTGACGTTTGAACAATTGTATAATTTCTCGAAACGACCATTAATGAACTTAAACGATCGCGTAACACGATCCTAAGTGGAACTATACATCAATTTTATTTCGTCGTATATTTCAGTTCGTTTTATCGGCACGAATCGTGTTATCCCATGCGCGCGTTCATCAGCTAACATAATTAACCACCGAGGATTCCGTTTGAGAAATGAGCTAACTATCCACCGATATCCACATACGTCTGCCTTGCGTCTCTGACGTTTATTCGATATCACGCGCCATATATTGCCAATCTAGGTATTACACTTAATTTAATAACCACACATAACCGATTTGCTAAAAGCGCAATACTAACTGGTAAAATCGATAACGTTACGTGCAATATAACAAAATCTATCTACATGGAAATCTCGCAAATAGGCGATTCGATTACCGTAATTGCCTCTCAGCGATATAAACAAGAAGTGCAAAAATCATTACGTCACGTCAACTTATGTTTCTTTTTCCTACTATATTTTTCAATATCACACGTCGAGTTGGATTCATGAATATCTTATATGCGTATGGGGAAATTCGATATCGACGTAGAAAGTCTCGAGATTTTCTTCCAGCGCGAACGAAATTAATTGCCGCGAAAGCACCGACGGAATTAAGACGTTGCCGATCGTATGCGAACCGGTGTCTAATGACCGCTTAATTAGCGATATACGTATGCTCTGTACACCTGTCATCTTTGTCTGCTCGCTGTCGTCGCCGGATGTCGCCGAATTTTCCGCGGTACGACCGATTAATCTTGCCGCCTGGCATAATGAGGAATCAGTGTCACGTTACCCAAACGAAGAGAAATGTAGTGACATAGATCTCGAGATTGGATTAACGTGGATGCCGATTAGAAGGATTTCAATC